CTATCACAAACTGTGCTGCTATGAACATGGGTGCACATATATCACTGTGGTATGATTCTTTTAATTCTTTGGGGAAGATCCCCATTAATTTATGTAGTTTTTTGGATGGAAATTTTAAATTCTTTATGAAGGCCAACATTCACATATTTTCTTTTATTGGCTATGTTTTTAGTGCTGTATCTGACTACTCTTTGACTAATTCAAGGCCACAAAAATTTTCTCATTGTTTCTTTTTAAAGTTTTAGAGTATTAGCTGTCATATATGTATATCAGATCCATTTTAAGTTAGCTTTCATATGTGCTATGAAATAGGGGTTCAATTTCATTCTTTTACATGTGAATGTACAATTATCTCAATATCATTTTATGAAGATCATAATTTCCCCATAGATTTGTCTTGGAATATTTGCCAAAATTTTAATTATGGGAACAGTAGAGTGACATAAACAAAATGGAGAAATAGAAGTTCTACATCTCCATTAGACTTCACAGAAATGCAATTATCCATGGATAAGGATAGTTTTTTGAATATTGTTGAATGTGGGAAAGGCAGGGACAACTCATCTGGTCACCAAACCTAGAAGAGCCACATTCAAATGGTATGAGGAGGAGCTTTATATCAAACATATCAAACCTCCCACAAGCTTGCATAGCATCACATATAAAAGCGGCCAGGTAAACTTTGGCAATAGTGCAGCATTGTAGCTAAAAGAAGTGCCACATTAGAGATTCTAGCCTCGAGCATAACTCTGCAGGAAGAACATTCTACAGATAATGCCAGGTACAAGGCCTTAGTCGGCTTCCATATTAACTCCAGGGTGCTTCTTAAGAATTAGGCTGGGAGGCAAAGGCAGGTGAGTAATTATCTGTGGAAGGAGACATCTGGCCTATTCAAAGCCAGTAACAGTGGAGAACTTACTTATTCCTGGTTCTCTTCTTAAGTCTTTCCCCAGTTATAAAGAAAATGTAGGGCCTGGAATATTTAAGCAGGGTAGAATCTGATATTATTCAACTCTAGTAGTCATCTAATAATTCCACTCAGTTCCAGTGCTCTTCCTGTGGCCTTATCTACAGAGGAGCACCTCATCAAGTCTACACCTAGTGGCCAAGCTGTAACCTCAGAAAGTCTTGGTACTTGCTTAAGCATTCTCTAGGAGAGATGACAATTTATGGCCCCAGAATATCAACAAAGGAGAGTATTTGGTCTTTTCCAAGATGAGATAACCACTCAGTCCTGGTTATCTCTTCATTCTTCTCCAAGACTAAAACCTTGGGTAGGTCAATAACCATCAATGGAAGGAAGGATCTGGTCCTACCTAAATTCACTCCCTAGGCAACAACTTCATCAAGCCTCAATTATTTCATTAAACTTTTCTCAAGCTGGGAGACATGTGTAAATCCACAATTTTACCACCTTTTTTCATCTTGTCTTACTTTGTTATTCAAAGACAAGTTTTTGACACTCCCATTCCTGAACTGCTACACTTACTAATATAACCACTAACATTTATGAATTTGCAGATAGTTAACTATATCTTATTAAGTTGAATACTGTTCAAATATTAATGGACATGGAATTGCACCATTGAGCAGATATTAAATTATTAAATATATGTATATATATATATATATATATGGTTTGTCGTAGAGTTTGTACTATAACTACAGATCTCATTTCTATGATTACAGGGGTACAGTATTTGTTCTTAGGGTCTGTCATTATCCAGTTTGTATCTGATGCTATTGTTGTTGCTGATTTTACTACTTTAGCCAAGGTGGCAGAGTTTCTGGTATCAGTTAGATTCCTCTGTATGTCACTATCTAGATTTCTGGGAGATCATAAACAATAAAGCATTGCATTGCCAGAGAACTGGGTACTGGGTACTGGGAAAAATAGGCTGTGCCAGTCCCTCCCTAACAAATGGAGGTGTTTGTATCCTTAGCAAAACTCAAAGTCCAATACCTAGCTACATGTGGAAGACATTTCTGAAAAGTAGACAATACCTAAAAAAGTTTCAATAGTAACAAAATGCTGTCCACTATAAGAAATCTGTAAGTCTCATCACAGAGAAAAATGAAGAAAAAAGTAGATAATGAGAAAACACAGAAGCAAAGTACTTCCAAAAGCTTCCAATTCCACCAAAATGAATCCAGCTGTGACTGAGAAGGAAGACATGAAAATCCACACATCTGGTAAGTGCACACAGATCTCAGTGAGAAGCCCACATGGGCCAGAGCAGCATGGTCGGGGAGAGGTCCTAGCCAAGACCCCTCCCTGAAACCAGGAGCTTGGACACACAGGCCTAGCCAAAGGCCCACCTGGAAAAGAGCTTCACAGGTCCACAAGCAACAGCCAGAAGCCCACACAAATACCATTGATAAGTGCATGCAGACCCAGCCAGAAGCCTGCTCAGACACCAGTGACTGGGGTGCACAGCCCCCACCCAAAGACCCTCCCAGACACCAGCTACATAAGGGGGCAGGACCTCTGTGCACAAGTCTGAACAGGCCCAAGCTAGAACCTTGCCAGGACAACAGGGCAGCTCAGGGATCCAGAAGGCCACCATTCTGAACACAGGAATTGGCTCAATGGTGAGCAGCAGAGAAAAGCACTCTCAGTGGCTTGCTGAGAATTGAAGACCACTAGGTGAGCAAAAAGTCACCTCAACAAAGGCACAGCAGGCTGCATCTGTTGAAATGAGAAGGCACATAAGTCTCAAAACCAGACTTCCAGATAACCTAAGCAACCCCAAAGGGCACCAAGATGGAACAATCTGGTACTCAACA